GGGAGGAGGTGCCGGGGGTAAATCTGTGTGTGTGTGTGTCCCTCCAGAGTGTGGGGGGCCGCTGACCGCCCTGGAGGGGCATTTCTCCACCCCAAACCACCCGCAGCCATACCCGCACCAGCAGGTGAGAGAAGGGGACGCTGCGGGAGCGCGGTGAGGGTGAGGGCGGGCAGGGAGGAAGGCAACCTCCCCCCCGGGAGAGCCGGGGGGTGCCCCTGCCCAGCTTCACGGGTGTCGCCGGCTGCCCCCCGCCCCTCAGCTGTGCCTCTGGAAGATCTTGGTGCCCCCGGGCCACGTCATCGACCTGCACTTCCACAACTTCAGCCTGGAGTCGCACGAAGAGTGCAGCTTCGACTTCGTGGAGGTGCACGACAGCGCGGGCACGGGGACCGCCAGCCTCATGGGCAGGTACGGGTACCCCCAACACCCCCAGCCCTGCTGCACCACCCTGGAGACACCTGGGGAAACTGAGGCACGGGGCTGGCTGCTGGGGAGGAACCAGCAGGAGACAGAATTTGGAGGGGTGCTGGTCAGCTCCCGACCCCATCCCTCATGCCGTGACCTCGGCAGGTTCTGTGGCCACCAGCTGCCACCCTCCCTGACCTCCTCACGGCACGTCATGACCGTCCTGTTCGTGGCAGACGAGGGAGTGGCGGATGACGGGTTCTTTGCCACCTACCAAGCCCGAAATGCCACAGAGAGTAGGTACACAGCAGGGGCACAGGCTGTGCCAGGGGGCTGTGCCAGCGCCATCCTTGGGAGGTTTGGCTGGGTAAAAACCTGACAAAAACAGCTCTTGCTCCACACTGACCCTGCTTGCAGCTCGAGGTTGGGCCCCCAGGGTCCCTTCTCACCTGAATTACCCTGGAACCCTACTGATCTGAGCACAGGGAATGTGACCTGGAAGGGCTCACCAGCACAGAGGAGTGAGGGCTGCCCCCAAATAACCCAGGGAATTTGGGATCTCTCCAAGAGGAGCAGACAGGGGTGGTCAGCAGGGGCCAGGCTGCTCCCAGCCATGCCCTGCCCTCTCACCTGCAGAGACCTGCAGCCCCGCCGAGTTTTCCTGTGGGAATGGCGAGTGCCAGGCTCTGGAGGCTGTGTGTGACGGCTGGCACGACTGCCCCGACGGCACTGACGAGCTGAACTGCACCGGGGTGTCCTACCCGGCCTTTGGTGAGCGCCACCCGGGTGCCCCATCGGGGGACACGCTGGCACAGCAGCTGGGCAGCACTGTCACCGTCCCAAATGAACCCCTTCGCCCTTCGGCAGGGTCTGTCTGCGAGCCCGTGGAAGTGGAGATGTGCTTGGGGCTGGGCTACAACGCCACCTCCTTCCCCAACATCTGGCTGGCCATCCCGGACCAGGAGGGCGCGGCCGAGGTGCTGCAGGACTACCAGGTGAGCTGTGGGGCGGGGTGCCCGCGGGGCTGCCGCACYTCACCGGGCTCACASCGCTGTCCCCGCTGTCCCCGCTGTCCCGCAGACCCTGATGGAGCTGGCGTGTTACCAGCACCTCCGCCCGCTCATCTGCAGCCTCTTCGTGCCCAAGTGCACCCCGGACGGGGGGGTGCTGCAGCCCTGCCGGACCGTGTGCCAGGCGGCCGAGCTGCGCTGCCGCCAGTCCCTGGGGCTGCTCGGCATCCTCTGGCCCATCAACTGCAACATCCTGCCCGATTCCAACGACCCCGTGGAGTGCTTCCAGCCCTGAGCCGGCCGGACGAGAGCAGCAGGGGCTCAACTCGCCCTCCCAGCCCTAAATGTCGCACCCATCCTCTTGGTGTCATAAATACCCAGCTGCTGGGGTGGCCCCTCACCTGCCCTGGGGTCAGCCCGGTGCCCAGTGCTTGGCTCAGTGCCTGGTGCCACGGGCTGGCCCACAGCTGCAGAGCCCCAGAGAGCAGCTGGCACATCCCACAGGGAAAGGCTTGTGCTGGGGACACCAGAAAAAGGGTTAATGCCCCTCAAGCGGAGCCAGGCTGGGCAGAGGTGAGCCAGGCTGCAGGCACCAAATCCCGGACCAGCCCGTGTGCCACAGCCCCAAAGCAGCAGAATAAACAGCCTGAGCAGCTGACAAAGCCAGTGGAGCAGGTGACTCATTTGGAAGGGGGGGTTTGTGGGTGGGTGCTGCCAGATCCAGGGGAAACTGAGGCATGGGCCAAGAGAGGAAAGCCAGGGATGGGGTGGGGAGATGGACAGGGGGCATAGGGGAGAATGGGCAGCTGGCTGTGCCCTTATGGGGCTGGGGGCTTGCAGGGTCCAGGGAGACGGATGAGTTTCAAGGAAGTCCTGTTGGTGACCCCATGGTGCACAGGGAAACGATCCTGCCCCACCGACAGCTGTGCCCCTTCTGGCTGAGCTGCCTGAGCTGGCTGGAGGCCACCCTGGTGGCCACAGGGCTGGCAACACCCATAGCCACAAACCAGCGTTCAGCTGGCCAAAAACAGCAGTCCCTTCACACCTCGGGAGAGAGGAGACCGGCGGCTCCCTGCCAGCACCAGCCTGGCCACGGGCACCCAGATCAGAGGGGATCAGCCAGCGATGTCACCCGCTCCTCTGCGGGCACAGGGAGGTGAGGGCTGGCAGTGCCATCGTGTTTCCTGCTGCCCTGAGCACGTGGGGAATTCCTCAGAGCAGCTGGGGTCACTGGGATCAGGACCCGGTGGGGCAGCGCCGCTCTGCCCCGTACCCAGCACGGCTCTGCCGTTCCCACCCGGCTCGGGGGGTTGGAACCCCCCCAGCTCCTTTTCTCCTGCGTGTCCCAGCTGCTGCTGGGCACAGGGACTCCCCCGGCCGCAGGCCCGCCCCCCTGGCCAGCATGTGACCGTGTCCCTTGGACGCACTCGGCGCTGGAACAAGTTAAAGGCGAGCGGGGAGCGCCTCGAAAGCTGCGCCGCGTGCTCGGAGCTCCCCGGGGCCAGCCCTGGCACGGGCACAGCGCTGCTCTGCCTGCGCTTCCACCTGCCCTGCACGCTCCCACCAACGTGCTGGGACTGCCCAGATGGATSCTGTGGCTTCCYGTGGATGCTCYCAGGGCTGGCACTGCCAGGCTGTGCATTTCTGCCCTCCCCTTCGCCTCAAATCTCTGTCAGTCAGGGCACCAGCACACCTCTTCCTTCTGCCGCTCCAACCCTCCCTGCCCTTGCTGGATTTCCCTTCCTCAGCTTTTATCTTGTTTCCTTTCCCTGCTGCTGTTTTCCGTGTTTCCCTCCCCTCCATCCTGCCCGGGTGCCCAGCAGTGTCCAGCTGAGGTGGTTCACAGTTTGTGCCTCCTCTCCCTCAGCCAGGCTGTTTGCAGCGCTCTCCCTTCCCCCTGCTTACAGCACTTCCGACATCATGGGATTATTTTTCTTTTTCCCCTTGTCTTGTAGCTTTTGGCTCCCAAGGCCCTTGATTTCCTTTGGAGTTTGGGAGGAGAGAGTGGGGAGGAGGGGGGGTGGAGAGGCTGCCTCTCTCAGGGCCTTCGTCAGAGCGAAGTGGCCAGGAAGAGCCTCAGCCCTTGCACAGCAGAGAGCAGCGAGGTCCCGGGACAGGAGCTGTAGGATCACAGTGAGTGGGGATACCCAGCTGGGGGAGCTGGGACTTCCTGGCTTCCCGCCTCCGGCGTCTGGGCGGAGGAGAGACGCTTTTCTCCTCCTTTTCCTCTTTGTTGCAGTCGTGGAGGGGGAAGAGAGCTGCTTTTCTGAGTCAGGGCCACGGGGAGGGGGCCAGCGCTGGCCCTGGGGCTCAGCTCCGGTCGCGGTGCTGTGGGAAGGGCAGGGGGCAGCCCGGGCAGGGGGGTGGTCCCCCAGAGGGGTGCTCCGGGGATGCTGCGGCCGCGGGGAGCCGGCCGGGGGTGGAGCGGAGCCGCCGCGGATGTGCCGGGATGTGCCAAGGGCCTGGCCACGGACAGCCCCGCGCCGCGCCCCGGCACCCACCCACCCCCGGAGGCAACAACCCCACCCGTGGCACGCTGGCAGCTCGCCATCTGACAGCCCTAAATGCCCCTGCCCGCACCCCATGGCCAGGCGCGATGGGGCAGCGCCCACCCCAAAGAGCCCCCGGAATTGGGCTCTTTTCCCAGTGCCCAGACCCCTCCCCAGCCCCCGGGCCCACACCCCCTGAGCTGTCCCGGGGCTGCGGGGTGATGTGACGGGCCACGGGGATGCTGCGGCAGGTGCAGGGAAAGGGAAAAGAAGGAATGTCCCCTGCTGACCCCCGGCACTCCCGGCCAAGCATTCCACACTTCTCTGCATTCCCCAGCGCTGTGATCTTTCTCTGCCGGCTTCCAGCTCCTCCGGGACACCATGAAGCAGCTCTTCCTCCTCTCCCTCCTCGGGCTCATCACCAGGTCCTTGCAGATTGAAGACAACAAGATCCCGGGGCTGTGCTCCGGGCAGCCGGGCATCCCAGGGACCCCGGGCCTGCACGGGGGCCAGGGTTTGCCAGGCAGAGACGGGCGAGACGGCCGGGACGGGGCCACGGGGATGCCGGGGGAAAAGGGCGAGATGGGCCCTCCTGGTAAGAAAGGAGAGATTCCGGGTGGGGAGGGGGATCTGCCATTCCCTGCCCGTGGGGAACACCCTCAGGACGGGGAAGGATTCCTTGATGCTGGCACAAACTGCCAGTCTGAGAGCAAATCCTGCAGAAGTGCCCCTCCCACCCCACCGCCACCCATCTGATCCTGCCTGTGGTAACCCTGTGTCCCCGCAAAAGCTCCCTGTCACCAGTAAAGCTGTGCCTGTCCCCATCCCCGATGCCACCCCTCTCCTCCAGCCCTGCTTTAGGAGGGGCCATCACCAACAGGGTTGGATCATCCCCCGCTGGCTCCTGGGCTGGGGTTTCTCCAACAATCTCCTGATGCTGCGCCAGCTTCTCTCCTGCCCTCCCCGTTTGTGCTGCTCCCCACTGCCCAGTGGGATTGGGATTGGGATTGGGATTGGGATCGGGCAGGAGGGCTGGGGGGCTGTGTTGGTGACTCTCAGGTAACCCTGTCCCCTCCTGCCCGCCCAGGAGCGCCCGGGCCCCGCGGGGAGATGGGCAGCCCCGGCGTGGACGGGCTGCACGGCGAGAAGGGCGCTCAGGGCGAGTGTGCCGTGGCCCCTCGCTCTGCTTTCAGCGCCAAGCGCTCCGAGTCGCGCAGTCCCCCGCTGGCCGACCAGCCCATCCTCTTCGACGTGGTGCTCATCAACGAGCAGGGCCACTACGACCCCGCCACGGGCAAGTTCACCTGCGAGGTGCCGGGCCTCTACTACTTCGCCGTGCACGCCACCGTGTACCGCACCAGCCTGCAGTTCGATATCATGAAGAACGGCCACTCCATCGCCTCCTTCTTCCAGTACTACGGCAACTGGCCCAAGCCCACCTCGCTCTCGGGGGGCACCCTGGTCCGCCTGGAGCCCGAGGACGAGGTGTGGGTGCAGGTGGGAGTCGGGGACTACATCGGCTTCTACGCCAGCGTCAAGACGGACAGCACCTTCACCGGCTTCCTGGTCTACTCCTACTGGCAAAACTCCGCCGTGTTCGCCTGAGAGCACTCGGCTGCCGAGGGGAACGCGCCCCTTCCCGGCTGCCAGCGTGATGGGAGCCCGGGCAGAGGGACCGTGCCCTGCTCGGGGCACAGAATTGTCCCCACTGCCGCGCGGGGAGCGCTCCCGGAGCGGCGCCGTGTGAGCGCTCGCTGTAATTTCGGGCGGTGCGCGGTTCCTGCCGCTCGCCAGGGCAGGGCGAGCGGGGCTGCGGGGCCGGGAGCCCATCCCGCGGGTCCTGTCCCATCCCTCCCCTCAATAAAGGGCTGCTCAGCCGCCTGTGTGTGTGCCGCCTGCCTGTGCCGTGGGACCCTCGGGGCTGCGGTGCCCTTTCCCCGGGGCGAGGAAAGGAAGGCCGGGGCCACCGCTTCGTGCTGTCCCCGCAAGGCCAGCGGGAGCCACTAGATGGTGGCATCGGCGTCCTTGAGGCAGCAGCGCAGCGCTGCGACACCCCCGGCACCTCCCCAAGGCTCGGCAGCGGAGCCCCGAGATCCCCCCGAGGACCGAGCCTCGCCGGATGGGAGGGTCCCGATGCTGTCAGGGCCATCCCGGGGGGAGCAGAGCCCCCGGTCCGGGGGTGGCCCCTCAGTGCGGCTCTCGGAGCCCCCCGTGCCCGCCCCCGCCCCGCCCCAGGGTGAAAGCGCTGACCCGCGGCTGGGAAAGGTCTTTATTTTTAGCAGGGGAATGAAGAGCTTCCTCATTCCTTGCCCAAAATAGGGTCCCTGCGGGGACCAGCCGGGGAGGGGGCTCTTGGCCAGCGGCCGAACCCCTTAATGGGTTTGGGACGCTGCCCTGCCCGCTGTAGGGTGCCAGATGGGACCGGCTCTTCCCCGGCCGTGCCAGTGGGACCGTGCATCGCTCACCAGTCCAGGACCTCTGTACACAGCCGGACAACCCTTCCATTCCCCGGACCCCTCACTGCCCCCCATCTCTGCTGTATGGACCCCCAGGGCTACCAGAGCTGGACAGGCTGGCAGCAGCCGTGGGGACACCCGTGTGCCCCTGTACGGGGCCAGTGCCACCCCAATGGGACCCCCACTCCGGGACTGAGGGCCATGGGCCACCCCCGACCCGTGGGGACCTGTGGAGGTGCTGGGGTGACCATTGGGGTGCAGAGGGGCTGTGCTGGAGCCACCCTGCACGCCCCTCACCCCGCGCCGGGGTCGGGTTGCAGCGGAAGCTTCTGTTTGGGTTGGAAATGGCCTTTTCTGTAAGCGGAGCCGCTCCGGGGCAAACAGCACCGCAGAGCAGATCGATGGCTGTGCTGGGAGGAGGAAAGGGAATTTTCTGCACGAGGTGTGTGGGGGCTGGGACCATTCCCTGGTCCCTGTCACGATGAGGGGGAGCACGGTCAGCACAGACACACACAGTGCTCGGCACAGCCGTTTCTGCGCTCTGCTTCCTTTATAGTAGTATCTTATTCCTATACTATGACTTTTCACTTAAATCTTCTGAGGATATTTTAAAGTACTGGGGAGAAGCTGAAATGCTCTTTGAGGATTTGCACCTTTAAAATTTAAATAATATCCCAAGCAGACATTCAGAAATTTTAGCTGATGCTCTTGGTTGTGTGGACACTTTGGGATCAGGGAGGGACTGCTGCTGCCTGGGCAGGATGAGGGAGGGGTGAGCAAAGGATAACGGAAGAATTGCAGAAGACTTGGACAAATTTCCAGTGAGCTTCAGATGCTTTTGATGAGCTCTGCCAGCTTCCCCCTGAGGAAGGAGAGTTTGGAATCCCCGTTCCAGCTGAGCCCAGGTTAGGGAGGGGCCAGTACCCCTCAGCCAGGGCAAGAAAAAATCCTATAAAAGAGCCAGGCTCAGGCCACAGGTGCTGCAGTAGAGCTCACAGAGGCAGCAGTTGGGTTGGTTTGTTCTTTCTTTCGAGGTTTTTGTGGTTGGTTTGTGGGATTTTAGAAACAAAAATAAATGCCACTACCTCTCCTCACAGCAGCACTCGTGCCCTTGGCACTCCAAGGTCACCCGAGGAGTCAGCAGGCACCAGAGAGGGCATTAAAGAGATCAGCTGGATCATCTCTGAGACCCTACAGCTGCATAAGCGCTTATGGTGTCAGGGTGTGGAAATGCCCCCAGGGGTGAAGGGTGTCCTGGTGGCTCCTGGCAGCAGCAGGGTGGCTCCTGCTCCCCCCAGAATTTGTGATTATGGCCCAGGTTCAGAGCCCCCATTGCTGATGAGGTGCAGGGAACACTCTCCAGACACCTTCAGGACTGCTGACCTGGTAAGGAGAGCTTTGCCTGGGAATGGGCAGGGGAGGGGACAATTCTTGCTCTGGTGGGGGCGGGGTGGGCAAGGAAAGGATTTTAGGACAGCAGACACGGGGATCTCCTTGCCAGAATCCCGTGTCCTGCAGAGCTGCCCAAGGGTACAAAGGATCAGCTCCTCCAAACTCAAACAAGAATGGCAGGCAGCAGCTTCTCAGCTGATCAAACCCTGGCTCAGAGGAGCAGCAGAGTCTCCCTCCCGCTATCCCCAGAGCCCTGCAAGCCACTCCAGGCTGGGTGACCGCGATATCCCCGGCAGCCTCAGCCCTTCCGTGTGCCCGAGGGACCGGAGGCGCCGTGTCCGAGGCTCCCGGAGCTGTGTCACTAATGAGGGTGACCAAAGGCTCCCCGTGGCTCGGCTGCGGATCCTCAGCTGCTCCCTCCCCGCCGGCCGGCGATCATTCCCCGCTCCTGCTGCGCCACATCTGCGCTCCCGGCTGCCCGGCAGAGCGTGCCGCTTGTCCCCAGGCTGCGACCAGCCGCTCGTTAGGGCGGGGGAGCTGCAGCCGGGATGATAAAAGGGATTTTCTCAGCGCCCGGGGGCTCCTGCTCTCAGCTGTCTGCGGCGCCGACCCCCCTAAACCGGGGTCACCCATCAGCATCACGCTCCTCCCTCCTTGGGGAAGGGTCTTGGGGCTTTGATGAGCTGAGATTCATGTGGGAGGCTCCCAGGCGTGTTCTGGAGCAGGGAATTGCCCCGGGGACTCCAGATCTGGTGTTTGGAGTGCTCTGTGAGCGTTGCTGCTGTCCGGGAGGTGCGGCCCCACACCGAAACCCAAAATACGGGAGCACGCAGCTCTCACGGCCCCTCGCCCATCAGCAGCGTTTTCCTCCTGTAATTGCTGGCTGCTGGAGCAGAGATGGAGCTGAGTGTGTGCAGGATGGCTCCCGGGGGATGGTGTGTCCTGCACATCCTGTCCTCTCTGGGAAAGCTCGGCCGCAGTGGCCTGAGGTGGCCGAACACCCATCCCATCCCCTGCGGGGGATGCTGGGCTGGGAGCATCCTGCTTGTGCAGGGCTTGGCTGATTTCCCTGCTGATCCCACCCTGCTCCTGTCCCCTCTGAGCCTCCCCAGGTGCCCAGCCAGTCTCGGGCAGCAAGAGAAGTGTCTCAGTGTGCCCAGTTGTCACACATGTGTGACCAGACCCCGCCAGAGCTGCCAGCACGGCTCTCCTCCCTGTGCCTGAGCAGATATCTGCCTCTTCCCGGCCTCCCAGCAGCTCCCATCTCCCATCTCTTGGTTTTCATCCTCATTAAAATTAGCCAGTTTGTCTGCAGGGCCCTGCCAAGGCAGGGCAAGCCAGGACTCCTGGAGTCTCTGCCCATCAGAGGCCCGAGACATTTTTCCAAATAATTTACAAGGATGCTGGGGAAGCAGAGAGTGCTTAAAAGCACGAAGCAACCTGCCAGGAGCTCAGAGCCGAGCCAGGGAGTCGCTCCTCGTGCAGCAAATGCATCTGCTCACCATCAACCACAGCCTTTCTGCGAGGCAGGACCCAGCCCTGTGCTGCCTCCAGCCCCGGGACAGTCTGGCACAGGACACTGAGGCCTCAGAAAACTGCAGGAACAGGGATTAACATGTCCCAGCATGATCCTGCTAGCCTGGAACACCCTGGGAAACCCCAGCCCCATTTCCTGTCCCCTGGTGTGGCAAACCCACAACCATTCCCTCTCGCTGTGGGTTGGCAGAGCAGGATTTGGGGGCAGGATTGGGTGTAAATTCCTCTCGTGGGTGCTGGATTTTCCCTGTGAGGAGCTTGGCTCCATCCCACAGCATTCTGAGCTTACAGGTGCTGCTAACCCTTTGTGGAGTCCAGGAGTGCACAGGGGAGACACAAAAACACATTCCCCCACAAAAAAAAAAAAACAACAATCCTTCCCAAGAACGAGGCAGCACGCAGCTTTTGGTAAAGGATGTTTTAATCTGCTCAGTATCTAGTCCATAGTGCAAAGAGTTAAACTTAAGGCAAAGCCTTCTTTTATAAACAGCAAACAGGCCCTAAAACAAACAAGCGTGACTGCTATAATAATAATAATAATAATAATATAAAAAAAAAGGGGTTGAGGGAAGAAACCGCAATTTTGGGGAGGTGTCCTTTCCCCACCCCACCCTGTAACTCATACAGAGAGTGTGGCACCCCCTGATCCATGAGCTGGTCCCAAGGGAATGCTGCTGCCTGTGGCCACAATCCCATCCTGAGTGGCCCCAGGTACTGCTCCCTGACTCCTTGGCATTGCCTGGCACAAACCAGACCCTGGGCAGTCACACTCACTGCTCTGGGGAGGGTTTGGCTGCTCTCAAGTGCTGCTGGCTGGAGAGAGCCAATATTAACAAGGGAGGTGTGTGGGGAGGCACAGGGACAGAGGTTGAGCAAGGGGAATTTTGCATTTCTCTGAAGTGGAAGCAGCTGACAGCCCTTCCAACACCCAGCAGTGCCCAGGAGCCTGGCCTGGCCCAGGGAACCCTCCCAGCTCCCGGGAAATTCAGGAGCAATCAGCCCTGGCAGCTCCCAGGAAATGCAGGAGCAATCAGCCCTGGCAGCTCCCGGGAAATGCAGGAACAATCAGCCCTGGCAGTGCCTTTCCCAGCAAAGCCACTCAACAACAAGATTCCTCCTTGCCACAACTCAGAGGCATCTCCCAGCACGGCCTGGCCTCTCTGCTGCCTCTGTTTTGGCTTAAATTGTTAATCAAGAAGCAAAATAGAAGGAAAACCATGCCAGCTGCCCTCAGGTTATTGGCTTGCAGTCCAGGAGTCAAGACTCTCTCCGGTCTGGCTCCAGCCAAAATTGGCTGTGGCGTGTGGCTGACCTCAGGCAAGCAGCTGGAATAGGAAAAGCTTTTTAGTGCAAGGCCTTCCTGCAGCCCAGTGATTTCTTGGAATGGTGCTGGTTGCCCAAACTGGGAAGAGCCATCTCAGGCCTCCCCCAGCCAGGATCTGATTCCTTTGTTAGAATTTGGGGGACACTTTGGAACAAAAGTGGAATTCA